ACACTTTGAAGAATTTGGATGTTTTTCGAGAGGTAGTAACTCTTCCTTTATCACTCTTCTGCCCAAGGTCAACGATCCATTAACATTGACAGAGTTTCGCCCGGTTAGCCTGATTGGAAGTGTGTATAAGATAATTAGATAATCGCAAAGGCTCTTGCAAATAGAATCAAACAGGTTATTGGGTCGGTTATCGATAATGTTTAAACGACTTTCATTCAAGGAAGGAATATTTTGGACGGTCCTTTGATTATTAATGAATTACTTACTTGGGCAAAGAAAAATAAATCCAAATCGTTCTTCTTCAAAGTTGATTTTGATAAAGCCTTTGATTCCTATTGGAATTACCTGGACAAGGTAATGGAGCAGATGGGATTTGGTGGGCAATGGAGGCAGTGGATTTGGGGCTGTCTTTGTTCTGCTAGGGCTTCAGTACTCATCAACGGTGCTGCCACTAGGGAGTTCCCCATATCGAGGGGCATACGTCAGGGAGACCCACTCTCCCCCTTCTTGTTTATCATTGCCATGGAGGGGCTCAATGCGGCCATGAAATCTGCTGACCAGAAGTCAATTTTTCATGGAGTGAATACTCCAGGCAATGGGCCAGTTATCACTCACTTGTTCTACGCGGACGATGCTATCTTCATTGGTAAGTGGGAGAGCTCCAATTTCCTGAATCTTGAGCGCTTCTCAGATGCTTCTATGTCTCTTCAGGGTTAAAAGTCAACCTCCAGAAGTCAAAAGTTTATGGTGTTGGTGTGTCGGATAATGAAGTTGTAACGTGTGCTCGCATTCTCGGTTGTGAATCAGCTTCCTTCCCATTCAAATTTCTTGGTGTTCCCGTTGGGGCCAATATGTCCCTTAAGCGTAATTGGCAACCTATCATGGTGAAGGTGCACAAACGACTCTCTTCCTGGAAAGCTAAAGCTTTGTCTGTGGGTGGTCGGTTTACTCTAACCAAATCTGTTCTCGGAAGTTTGCCTCTGTACTATTTTTCTCTCTTTATGGCGCCTAGATCTGTTTTGGACAGATTGGAGTCAATTAGGAGAAAATTCTTTTGGGGAGGCTGTGAAGAAAGGCGCAAGATTAATTGGGTGGCTTGGAATGTTGTGCTAGGGCCTAAAGGAAAGGGAGGTCTTGGTATTGGTTCTCTTGAATCATTGAACATTTCTTTGCTTATCAAGTGGTTATGGAGGTTTTATGATGAAAGGGATTCTTTATGGAGGAGGGTTATTTGTGGAATTCATAATTGTGGAAGGAAGCATGTGGACAGGTGGGCCAAAAAATCGTTAGGTGGGTGTTGGTTTAATATTATCAACGTTGTTTCTCGTCTCAACGACTTGGGGGTGAATTTCAAGTCTACCTTTGACATCTGTCTTGGGGATGGTAAGAAAACTTTGTTTTGGTTGGATGATTGGTTGGGTAATGGTACGATGGCTTTCAATTTCCCTCATCTTCTTAAACTTGACAAACGAAAGAGCTGCTTTGTTGCGGAAAGAATTGGCTCTCATAGGCTGAAGTGGGATTGGAAAAGGAAACCCAACACTGTGATTGAGCGTGAGGAGTTGGATTTATTAGTTAGGCTTGTGGAACGGGTGCAATTTTCTTCAAAGCCTGATAAATGGAAGTCGAGATTTTCGGGGGATGGAGGTTTCTATGTTCATGACTTGCGTAGTGTGATTGAGGATTTGAATGCCCCTGTTGTATACAACCCAACGGTTTGGCCTAAGATTGTTCCGCTAAAAGTTTCAATTTTCGTTTGGCGTGCATGTATGGATCGTATCCCTACTGCGATGGCTTTGGCGCGTAGAGGTGTGAATGGTATGTCGACTTCTTGTTTACTTTGTAACGTGGGAAGTGATGAGACAAACCATATTCTTTTGCATTGCCCTGTTGCTCGGGATGCGCTGATGTGGCTGCTTAATTGGTGTAACAACCAACCGCCTGCTTTCAATGGTGTTGGGGAACTTGTAAAATTTGTTGGGTGTTGGGGTTCCTGCCCGAAAAGAAGGAAGATCTTAATCGCCTTATGTTATGGGTTCTTATGGTGTGCGTGGAAGATAAGGAACGAACGGAGGTTCAACGACACTTGTAGTTCGCAGTCAAAATTGGCGGATAATGTTGTTTCTTTAGTGTTTGGTTGGGTGAAATACAGGGGAAACTTTGATAGTTGTAAATGGGAAGATAGGTGTATTTCCCCTTTTAATGTTTTGTAATTAGTTTTTTACCCTTGCCTTTTCCTTTTTGGCTTCGGGCTTTTTAATAAAATTTTCGCCGTTAAAAAAAAAAATATTAGTTTCATGTAATAAACAAGTGTCAATTAAAAGAAAAAGATGGTTAATGTTTGTTTTTTGTAAAAAAACATTTTCAAATCTTTTATTGTTGTACGGTCCAACACATGCGCAACATTTTTAATCTTGTACTTGTTTGTTTTTTAGAAGTTTTTAGAGTTAAAAACCTCTATACGTGTTCTATTTGTCACAACACTCTTATTGCTTTTTCCAACCTATTATTCTACTTTTTTTTTTTCTTGCTGAAATCATGATTATATGTTGTTGAAATCTTATTTTATATTTTTCTTTCGTTTTTTTGTTTATTATTGTTGATTTTTTTTATATTGAATAATGATAATTTCTTGATGAAATATCATTATTTTTTGCTGAAATATCATAAATTCTTGCTGAAATTTCATACATTATTAAATTTTCGATATTAAAATTTTATTTTGGTTTATAAAATAAATTTATTTTAATTTTTTAATATCTGCAGCAGCATGCAGATATTAAAAAAAAACACACTTCTTATTACAGCCTGTAGCCGTTTAGTCCACCTCTTCTACTGCAAAGGGTTGCAGAGGTGATCCGCAGACTTCATGAATTTTTGCTTTAAAAAAACAAATAGCACCTTAGACAGGCACATGTATAAGACCAAGATGAGTGGTTACAGAAAAGGCCGTAGTCTTCCTGCCACTTAAGCAAGAACATCGCCCCTCCACCGCAGTCTAGGTGTGGTAGAGGCCGCACTTCGGTACCCTCCGGCCGCACTCCCTTTCTCCATTTTCCAAACATATGACCGTTGAACAGTTAAAATTTTATTAATATTTTTTCTTTTTAACCTTTAAACAATCCTATTTAAACCCGTCAAACCTTACAAAATTTTATATTTTTCTACTACTTTTCCTTTCAAAGAAATTAAAAAGTGTCGTCGCCGGATTCTTCTGAAGAATTTGATGTTATGTTAGATGTTGTTGCCGCTGCTACTAAATTGGCAGAGCAAACGTATGAAGTTGCATGCAGTAGCGCAGCCGGAAGTCCTGAGCGGAGAACACAAATATATATTTTTAGAAATCATGAAGATGCAAACTAACGTTTGATACAAGACTATTTTCAAGAGAATGTCACTTTTCAAGGGTACTACTTTCGAAGGCGTTTCAGAATGTTGAAACCTTTGTGCGAATGTATAATCGAAGATCTAACGAGGGAGTGATTTTTTCCAACAACGGTTGGATGCTAGAAGTACATTCGGTTTCACTCCTTTACAAAAATGTACAACTGCACTTCGTTAATTAGCATATGGCATCACGCTTAATGCGTTGGACGAAAGTTTTAGGATGTCCGCCATGACTGCACGAGATAGTCTCCATTATTTTATCAAAAATGTTATTCAGCTTTATGGGCCAAAATATTTACGTAAGCCTTCATGCAATGACATCATCAAATTGCAATCTCATCATGCTAACGTACATGACTTTCCTGAAATGTTAGGAAGCTTAGATTGTCTACATTGGGTATGAGAAAATTTCCTTACCTCACACCATGGTCAATTTACCCGAGGTGATCATGGTCACCTAACAGTCATATTCAAAGTAGTGGCGTCACAATATTTGTGGATTTGGTATTTTTTTTTTGTTCTCCTAGCTCACTTAATGACATTAACGTTTTTAATCGCTCACCTATATTTAACAACATATATGGCGGATCTGTACCAGATTTTTCTTTCTAATTATGTGGAGCACCATATAAATATAATTATTATCTAGTTGATGGGATCTATCATGAGTATGAAGTTTTTGTTAAATCGTTTACGTTTCCACATGATACTTGAAGGAAAAAAATCAAGAAAGCTCAAGAAAGAGCTAGGATGGATGTCGAGCGGGCTTTTGGAGTTCTCAAGAAACGTTGGTTCATATTGAAAAAATCAAAAAAAAAATTTCGGTAAGGGAAAACTTCAGGAAGTCATGTATGCATGTATAATACTATATATTATGATTATTGAAGACGAAGGAAGAACGATATGTGATTATGATGAGCAAGAAACCATCTCCGATACATAACCAATAGAAATTTGTGGCGACGAGTATATGAAAAAGAGAGCAGCAGTTCGTTCCAATGAAACATTTCACAATATTCGCATGGACTTGGTGTAATACATTTATGAGATTCAACACATTAACCTCAATTTGTGTCCCCCAGGTGACCCAGAAGACGAGTTCTTAGAGGACGATTTCATGTAGTTCGTGTGGATTTTTATTTATTTATTAAATTTCTACTTTTTTTCTAAGTTTGTAGGTTTTTTTAATGCGATGTTATTTTCTTTAAGTGATGAAATGTAATGGGTTTTTTTTAATTAATGAAAGATTTTGTTTTTGATTATAACTAAAAATTTTAATTATTTAAAAAAAATGAGTGTGACGCCACTCATTGGGTGTGGCATGAAACCACACTTTTGTGGTAATTGTTGATGTCTTGCCTACGTGACAGTGTGGCACCACTCCCTCCAACCTAAGAGTTAGGTGGTGAACTTTTTCCACAACATAGCTTATTCGATTATCTACGTTTGGAGAGGTGGATCACATAAATCTGATGTCGGGAAGTCCATAAAACAAGCCAACTAAATTGACTATAATCATTTTCTACATGCAAACCACTTTCTAAACTATTTCTAGAATATCAAGAACACTTGTGTGTGTGTGTTCTTGGTGTATCAAGTGTGTGTTCGTGAAATTTTCTGGAATTCACGAGGAAATTAAAGCAATGATGCAATGATTAAGGGCTCATGATCATCAAAGCTAGTGCATAACCACTACTAGATTGAAATGTATTGTCTTGTTTAAAATGATGAATGTTCTTATAAATCATAATCCTGAAAAGGTACAATTTGCTAGATTTTAAACTATAAAGATTTGAAGAGGTTATAAGATAATAACATGTTGTTGGTCAATATTAGCATCAAATAAGTAGTCTGGAATAACCATAAAAGTTTTTAACACATGATATCAAAATGTAACTTGTATAAGCTTGGATTCTGAAATCCTGAAACATGTTCATGAAGTGTTGGTGATTTTAGTGTCACATGACACTTTGTGTAATTAGTACTGACATGTGAGCTAAGGGGCTTATTGTTTGTACTTTATATTATATGTTTGGTGAATGTAGAGTGCATGCGTATATAAGATCGAATTATAAGCTGGTACGATATAAAGACGGGGCTCAAAGGGAATGTGCCGCCTTGTAGGGTCCTAGGGGCAGTGTTACACCTGCAGATTCGGGCTAATCAATTAAGATATAACAAACGTTAAAAACAATTCTTTTATATAGAAGATTATCTAGGATAAATAATCTTAACCAAAGTAATAGTTAGGGTCAATAATTGTAACCTAATTGACGTAATAAAGAAGGATTATATGAATATTATGTGTTTCATGATTATTATAATACAATAAAATAGGAAAAACCAACCGAATCGTCCGTAAATCGTACAAATAAGTGCGCAAAAACATATATATATATATATATATATATATATATATATATATATTTAGAAAGTACATGTCTTCCCGATCTCGAAAATATAAATTTCGTACAAATCCGACTCCGTATGAATTAGATATGATTTTTATAAGATATATAAGTTAGTCGCGCACAACAAATGTATGACGTAAAAAGATACGAGGAGAAATGTTGACTTTTAGCTAAAGCCACCAAAAAAATCGTAGTACTCTTTAAAATAAGAATTTTGAGAACAAGAATATCAAAATCGGAGTCCGTACAAGAGAGTTATGATTTTAGCAAAATCATTTAAATTTATAAAATACGGACAAAAAATAATATCATAATTAGCCGACGGAGTCTATACGAAAGTTATAGATCTCGTCGATAGCTACGCGTGGATATAAAGAACGTCAAAAACGAAGTTCGTATGAACGAGTTATAATTTATAATAACATATTTACGTATTAAAATAAAGTATAAATCATATATAAGTATACATATATATACATATGTATATATAATTAGAAAGGTATCGATGATGCAATCGTTATAAGACTAGTGTTGAGTACTTTTGACATTAGTTTAGTATAAATATTGTTAAATCTATTTAAAATAGTATTGTAAATGATGTTTAGTCTTTTAAATAACTATAAGGTCATTAAGTAACTATAGATGATAGTTTTTGAAAATTCAGTTACTATAAATAAGAGCCCCTAGGCTCTCATATTTCTTGTACCATTCTCTTCATTCAAGAGTCTTTCTCTTCTTATCCCCTGAGCATTTTGGTCCCTCGTGATCCAACTTCTAATTTTATAGTTTTAGTTTAGTAAAATGAGCGTTGAAGCGCTACAAGAATCATTTTTTAGAAAGATTCAGCGACGAGGTTCTACCCTGCAGAGCCCGGTTCCTAGCCAAAACCCCTTGTAAGTATAACTTATGTTCAAATTTATTATCGTTACTATGAACCTATAAACAATATATGTGCTAAGTATTATAAATTATAGAAAATGTTGTTATAATACATTTTAACTGCTTACGGTACGGGGAATCTGGTTTGAAGGGCCGCATAGGGTTGTTTGATTTCAGAACCACTTAAATGCCAAAGTGGTCCTGCCTTTCAGTGTTTCATGTATGGCTCCTGTCTATACATAGTAGTTGAAAAGTATTATTTAACACTTATATAATACAAGAAAAACAATATTTCTCATAGAGTGTCTGCTATATTTATGAAGTATGCCTAAATAGACACGAGTACTAGCTTATTTAGGGAAGATGCATAGTTTTTTTTTTATGTGCTAAATGATTTATGCTATAAGATGCCTTATATGCTTTATGATGCTATTATTTGATCGGATGTATGGTCTATTGCTGACAGCATCTGAAAATTTCATGTGTTTAGGTTTATAAATGTTTAATTACGGTATTTAAACTGGCATGTAACTTTT